TCAAAGTATTCCGTTCTTGTCTGATTCTTAATAAAAACAAACAGGTAATCTATGCATGCCACAAACATCAATTTCTTCTTTGACTATTTGGCATTCATTTCACCTCTTCTGCCAGAGCCCTGCTTCCTTTGGGGCTCTTCCTCACCGCCTCCCCACTGGATACCATCTGGTCAAAGTGGAATTGGGTGCCTGGACCTCTTCTTACAAGGATGGGATGTATCCCAAGCTGGACCGTGGACCTTGAGAGAAACGATCCAGAGACTAAGAAATGCGTGGAGTTCATTTCGCCCAGGCATGGTGCCTTGAGTGAAATGTTTCTGGCTAAGACTTTCTGGCCTCTGGAATTTCTTGGTTCTTGCCGAAATCCAAGCCTTGTCTTCAGTCTCCCCAACAATTCTCTTAGCAGCTCTTGTAGTCTTCTAATATGTGTCCTTTGGCTGAAGTTGGTCTGATGCTTGCAGCCAAGGGGCACTGCCTGAGCTGTGTAGTTTCACCATCGGGGTCTCCTACACGACCGGGCTCCATGAAGAGCAATGACAAGAGGGAATCACTGCTGAATGCTCTGTAATTATCCCCTAATAATGGACTGTGCTCTTTTTCAAGACATATTAACCAAGTCAAGGCAATGCTGTGCTACGAGGCGCTGCACACGACCTGGAAAAGCTACAGCACCCCAGAAGTGCATTATTTATACCTAGAGCACACCCCATCATTGAGCTTGCAGTGAACAAAGAAAGAAATGGATGGGCGAAGAGCGTATTCACATCAGATGTCAAAAATAATGGTAATATTCGGGGTGCTCAACCTGTTGTATGAGATATTCATTAAAATATGAATTTTAATATGTTCCAAGATTTGACCTCGGACCCACTTCTCAAATCTGTTTCCAAATTACCAGCATATTAACCCATAACATTGTAGTCAATGTTCAAATTCAAGAGTAAAATCATTTTAGACTAGACTTCTTCTAGTTCTGTATTCAGAATGATGTTAAAGTGAATCCTTGACTGAACATTGATGGACGTGTGGAAATCTTATAATGATGATGGGGGAGCTGGTTTCAATCTAGTGGTCAGGAGAAGCAAATCTGACAAGGTCACTTCTGAGCCAGGCCGAGATCTGGGGAGAGAACTTCACTGAGGGAACAGCCAATGCACTGGTTTAAAGAGGGAATATGTTTAGTGGGGTCACACACACACACACACACACACACACCACACATATCCCACATACACCCCCAGCCCACCCCCAAACACACCACACACACACACAATCCAGCGTGGCCCAAGTCGGTGCTTTGCACACTTCAGATTATGAAGTGAATCACGAAATCAATTTTGGGGTAAAAACAAGCATTTTTCTAATGACGTATAAGATAGACCATAACAGCATAACATAGCAAAGCATGGCACAGAACAGTTTTTTAAAAAATATCAGAGCGCGTGAACTGCATGGAATAAAAGTATCGCTTAATAAAGTTTGTTTCCAGGGTGTGTGGGGTGTGTGTGTGCACGTGTGTAGGTGTATGTGCGTGTGTATGTGTGAGGTGTGTGTACTTGTGTGTACGTGTGTATGTATGTGCAGTGGGTCACTATGTCAACATGCTGGCATTGGCTCCACCTACTAATGAGGGCCCGTGTACATCCACAGCCCTCCTCACCTCCGTGTTCGGTGACACCCCCCTGATGACTTGAGGTCGGCCATGGTAGAAGCTTTCACACCATGGAACCAGGCAAAGAGGGCTTCAGAAACCAGGGCTCCCTCCTCCCCCACACGAACTGGATGTTAAACATTTACCAGCATTCCACCAGTTGTGGTTAAAAAAGCAAACAAATAAAACTTAAAGGCACTAGCCTATGTGAATTACTGGAGGACCTGAGACGTGTCTAGACGTATCAGTTTTCAGTCTTCTGTGGGGCAGAGGGAAGCAAGAAGCAAACACGTTGTCTGAAGGAGTCTGTGACTAACTGGATTCAACGCTGCCTTAGCAATTTAGAAACAAATTCTTCTGTCTGCTGAGGTGACATCAAGCTTTTTGTGGTGGTGGCTTTGTTTCCCCCTTAGATTTGATAAAGACCTTTTGGGAGGCTGGCCTATTGCTGAATGTTTGTGTTCCCCCAAAATACATAGGCTGAAATCCTAACAGCCAATGTGACGGAATTAGGAGGTGGGGCCTCTGGGGAGCACTTAGGCCACGAGGGTGGAGCCTCATGAATGAGATTAGCGTTCTCAGAAAAGAGACCCCACAGAGCTCCCCTGTCCTTCCACCACGTGAGGACACAAGGAGAAAGCATCGACCACGAACTGGGAAGAGGTCCTCACAAGAACCCGACCATGCTGGCCCCATGACCTGGACTTCCAGCCTCCAGGACTGTGAGAAATAGATTTTTGTTGTTCATAAGCCACCCAATGGTGATATGTTGTTACAGCAACCGGAATGGACCAAGACAGATCTAAACCCGTCAGATCCAAAGCCTTCACTCTGCACTCAGGTCCATGCAGGCTGAGAAGACGCTGCCCCACTGCAGGCAGATTTAGATCTGGAAGACACGGTGTCTCCCGTCAGTGGAAAAGATGTAAGCAAACCCTAGGAGGGCTCCGGGCTATGTGTGAACCTGGCGCAGTGCCAGGTGCTTATGACTGGTTTTGCTAAGTGGCAAATTTGCAACCAAAGAACGAATTTCCCCATTTCCTAGAGGGGTTTTAATTATGGATGGTGGAGTGCCCCGTGGAAGAAGTGCTCTAGAATTATTAATAATTCATGGCATTGAACTGAGGACTAGTGGCTCTCAGATGACCCTTCACAGCCCTCCACTGAGAGCTCTGTCCTACTGCGCTTTTCTCTCATTCATGTTCAATGGCGACTTTGTGTTCTTTGCTCCCCCCAAGCAAAGGACCTCGTTACCTGCAGATAGAGCTCCAGAACGGTCCCATGGGGTCTCAGGGATGGCGACCTAGTGGGTTGGAGGGTTCCAGGGGACTGGTCTTGGACCTGTGTTTGCCTAGTGAGCATCCTGTCGTCAGGTGTACTGCCAGTTTATTAGACCTGCTTGGAAATGGGGAGGAGGGGCCCCTGGAAATTATGAAAGCACTAAACCTTCCCCAGACACACCTTTCTGTGGTCTCTGTACACCTGCTTTGCTTTCTCAGCTCCAAATCACCCTCTGCTCCCTAATCCTGGAATGTCAAGTCCTGGTCACTTCCTCATTGGGCAAAGTCATGACAGTCCTTGCTCTAAACCATTTTGTATTACCTCCTTCCAGAAATTAAAAAAAAGAAATACAGAGATGCATTTTGTGGGTCGTACAAGGCCAACGCCGACAGGGTGTATATGGATGTATGTGGGTGTGTGCGCGTGTGCGTGCACATGTACACACATGGGTGTGTTTGTTTAATTAGCTCCCAGCACTCAAAAATAAACATGTTTCTCACACACACACACACACACACACACAAGCTCCCTGGATTCATGGCTTCTCTTGGAAAGCCAACCAGGGGGCCTGTATCTCTGGATGCACCTGCTGCAGCTGAATCCCGCTCCCCCTGCTGTCATTCCAGTTTGCCACAGCCTCTGCCCTCCCCCACTGTCTTCCTACCCTGAGCCAGAGGGACAAGTTTCCTTGCAGTAAAGTTAGGAAAAAAGAGGAACATCTCTTACATTCATTGCTCTTTCAAAAGTAAGCAAGCAAACGTTGGAGACAAAGTGCCGTGTTCCAAAGGCAAATGGTAGAAAAGACATCTTTCCTCGGGGAGTGGAAAACATTCCTAATTATTTAACATAAAAAACAAAACAAGAACAACAGTGTCTCTTCCAAAAGACTGTGACTTACAAAGTCTTTATGAAACAAAGGGCACCTGTGTACGTTCCTGTAACTGCGACTGAGTTCAAGATGAAGATTCTAGATAAATCCAGGAGGACACTACAGCTCCTCTTCTCCTCTGAGCTCTGCCCCAGTTCACATGCTTCCTGGGTCTTTATTTCTCTGGAAGGGGGTCTCTGGCACATGTTTAGTGCTATATGTGTGTTTCCAAGGTTGCACCTCTCTCTGGATTCCTTACGAGGAAACATGATGCAGAAAACTCAAACGGAGGAATCAGATCATCCTCAGTTCAGCATTGGCGAATGTTCTTCTCCACCAGGCATTGTTCTTTTTAGTATTTCTTCCACCACACACACTGACACTTTATAAAAACTGTTTGGCTATTTGCGTACACTCTAACAATTTGTCATATCTGCACACCATCTGTATTATTGCTTATTTAATACTTTTTTGTGAAGACAATTCAGTTTATTTTAAAAATTTTAAATTTTCATCGTTGGAAAGCTGGTATCGCGCGCCATAAATAGAACGTAACCATAAAAATAAAAACAATGAAAAAGAAAGCCACATTCCTAAATTCTTTCTAGATAACAGTTGTTGCCAGCCCACAGCTCTAAGCCTGAGGCGTTCTCTCTTGGTTAACAAGAATTTTAGCATCAAAGTAAAACTTTTTCTTTCACTCATGCTCTTCAAAGGATGGAAAAGATGGAAAGGAAGGATGGAAAGAGAATTAAAATAACAATAAAATAATAATAATAACTTTTGCACCACCGGGAATTATCTTGTTACCACCAAAAGGTTGGCACTGTATGTGTAATGTGTATACGTGTGTGTATATGCATGTGCGAGTGTGTGTTAAACAACCGGCACGGGGTGCTTCGTTTTCCATGTGACAGCCAATGTGGCCACACAGATTCTAGCCTTTGATATTTTTATTAGGTTAGGTGGCCTTTTTCTAGGCCAACATACTATTTCCAAAGGTCTTTCAGAAGACTGAGAAAAGCTTCCGACCCCAATTGCATGCTTTGTGGATCCCTACGGAACCAGAAAACCCACATAAGGAAGAATTACACAACAGATGAGACCCCCAGGTGTGTGGAACTCCACTCACCCAAGTGTTCATGCAGGGTCCTATTATGAAAAGTGAGTGACACGTAAAGTCACACGTGCATCTAACACTCACACGCTGAACTCTCTCTGCTCGGCAAAAGTGAAAAAGGGGGGCCAGCCTAGTGGTGTAGCGGTTAAGTTCGGTGGTCTGGGGTTCGCAGGTTCGGATCCCGGGCACAGACCTACACACCACTCATCAAGCCATGCTGTGGCAGTGTCCCATATAAAGTAAAAGAAGATGGGCACGGATGTTAGCTCAGGGCCGATCTTCCTCAGCAAAAAAGAGGAGGATTGGCAAAAGATGTTAGCTCAGGGGCTAATCTTCCTTTAAAAAAAGAAAGTGGAAAAGGTAGTGAGCCGGTCGTTGCCATGGGGCTTGCTCCGTACGACCCTGGGGCAGACCCCCGTGAAGGGAGAGAGCCGTTCCCGCAGTGCTGCATCCCATCTGACTGGGAACGCCAAGTGCATTTTGTTTTCCAAACTGCTTGGAGAAGGTCAAAGTTCACTTGATGAGATGACCAGTGTCACCACACTTCTCTGAACCCTGAGTGCACAGACTTGAAGGTGGAACAGGCACGTGCTTGAATCGCACTGTTGAGGAGATGGGCCAACAGCCTGGAGTGCCACGGAACGAGAGGCGGGATCTGGGTCCATTCCTGGACCACGGCCACAGTCAGGGACGAACATTCCCCCAGGCAGACTGTGCTTCTCATGCTTATAGACACTTACTTTCCATACCACTTGGCTCCCAAATGCAAGTCAATGTCTTAATCTGTGCTCAGCTAAAGAAATAGCTCTGTGTTTGTTGTCGAGAGGTTTAAGAGAGGTCCAAAGACAATTTGGACCACATATAATGTTTGCCTTATGCCCCAGTTTGGACTAACTTTTGCTGTATATGACTTTCCCTTTATATGACTCCTCTGTATTCCCCTAAGAATTTATTACTTATCCTTTGCAGCAATAAATTAATTGTAAAGATTTATAAAGCCTCATAATCTTGAACCTTGGTCTAGTTTTCATTTTTAAAAAGGCAAACAGGTTTTATTTACTTAAAAAGGAAAAAATAATTTGGTTAGAACAGCAATGTAAACTAATTTTAGAAAATACATAAAAAGTATAAGGGGGAAAACAGAGATGAGATAAACGCTTACGACAAGTCCACTTACTTCGGGACCTACAATTACCATGTAAACGCTGGGCTCCTCCCGATGCCATTCTTGAGGAGAAAAAAGAAAAAAAAAAACTTAAAAATGAAAATGGTTTAAGTCACAGCTGAAAACACAAGTTTAATATAAATTACTCCATAATCTAAATTATTTCATATCATTTTGCTTTCATTCACATTAGTCAAATTAAATTACATTTATTTAAAATGTAAATATTTGACATTTTATGCTTTTAAGTAAAAGTTTTTTCTAGAACGTTACACATTATCCAGTTTTCTAATTTATTAGATAACTAGGACTAATATGCCTCCACAAATCAATGTGGACATTAGAACATGCTGAAGAGCACCTAGATGGACTGAAGCAATGCAACAAAACTCCAAACGCACCCTACAATCGGCATGCGTAAAATATCTTCAGATAAAATTGTTTTAGCCTTGCAATTATTCACTATTTTTATGATTTCCTCAGAAGCTGAGGGCAAGGAAAGTAGAAAACAATTGAAGTTACTACACAGCGCTATTATTTTTCTGGTTGTTGCCAAAGTAACAATCTAGAAACAGTTCTGCTAATGCACAAAGAATGAGAAGGTAAAATTCAAAATCCTAAAGAGAGAAATGCGAAGACAGGTACCCAATCCATAAGCAAAGGGTAACTTTGGAAAACGTACCTGAGAACACATCCACCAAATAGAGAGGGTCTTTAACTTGTCTAAGTCCACATATCAGGAGAAACACGTGTAAATTGTCAGCACTTTGGTTAATCTCTGCAACAGAAGAGTTCAGGATATTTTCAGGGGAGCGGACTCGGAGAGAGAACATGGCAACCATGACCCACAGACACGGCTCAGGAGCCCAGGGCTCTGACTTCTCAGCCAGCTGTTCCCACACCTGACCTGTAGATTCATTTCAGTGCGTGAACTAACTCTTGCTCCCGGTGGGTAAACCTGAGCTGAGCTCAGCCTCAGAAAGGTAAATGCACCTCTGCTGCAGTGAGGAAGGATGGGGCAGAGAGAACCGACTCAGTCATCACTGACATGCGAGCCACAGGTCCTGGGAACATGTAGATCCAATTCCACTTAGGAAGAATATTTTCCTGATGAAACTGGACAGATGGTTTATACATTAATGTACTTCTGAGTCCATACACGTAGATATACACATTTACTGTCTACCTGCCCATAGATATATGAAAGGGTTTAGTTTTACCAACATGTTTACCATGTTGAACAAAGCTATGTTCAACATGACGGCCATGTTCTTTTTTTTTTTTTTTTTAATTTTTTTTTTGTGAGTAAGATCGGCCCTGAGCTAACATCTGTCAATCCTCCTTTTTTTTTTTTTTTTTTTGCTGAGGAAGACTGGCCCTGGGCTAACATCCATGCCCATCTTCCTCTACTTTATATGGGACACTGCCACAGCATGGCTCGACAAGCGGTGCATTGGTGCACGCCCAGGATACGAACCGGTGAACCCCGGGCCGCCACAGTGGAGTGCGCACACTTAACCGCTTGCGCCACCGGGCGGGCCCCATGGCCATGTTCTTTGTGGTACCTCCCGTCAAGAGGTGGAATTGATTCCCCCACTCCTAGACTCAGTGTCACTTGCCTGGTGACTTGCACTGATTAACAGAGTGCAGAGGAAAGACAGTGAGTGACTTCCAAGTCTTGGCCATGGGAAGCCTCGTGACAGCACTCCCACCGCTGGATCACTGCTGCCTTATAATCAGACCCGCTTTGCCTCCTAGAGAGTGAGACTTTGTGGACAGAGACCAAGTCTTCCCAGCTGGAGGAGGCCATGCAGGACCCGTGAGGTCTCAGCTGACTGCAAATGTATGGGTGAGCCCAGCAGACATGGGGGAAGCAAGGATGAGCCCTCTCGTGGAGCCTGGTCCAAACGCCAACCCACAAGATCATGAGAAATTACACAAGAGTTGTTTTAAACCACTATATATTGAGGTGTTTGTTAAGCAGCAACAGATAGTTGATTCAATAGAAACTATTAATATAATTAACACACACCTAAAACTTCATCATTTCTGAACTTATATCATTAGACATAAAATCATGCAAGTAGAAGGTTTTCATTCATTCATTTCATTTCATTCATCCATTACTTAATGCAAACAACTTCACTTTCTCTGTACTTTTGTAAGTTTTGAACGGGAATATAATTACTCTGAATGAAATAGGATACATTGACACCACTTTAACACAACCACAAAGGCTAAATAATAATAATAATACATAACCAGTTCTGGAGAAAATCTTTACTGAAATGTTAAGATTGAAACGTCCCTCTGAGAAAAGCCTTAATTAGCACAGTCTCTGCGTTAACTGTTGAGAATTTCATTGAGATATGTTGAGTTTTTAAAATATTTCCCCAATATTCTGAGTATCTTAAAACTAACCTTAGAAATACAAACCTTGGTGAGTACTTGTTTGATCAAAAGTTTAAGCTAGAAGCTATGTGCAGAATTTGAATCTGAGATCAGAGGAATTTGAGGTCAGGCATTTGAATTTGAGAAGACAAGCTATTCTCTTTAACAAATGATAAAAGTTGAAGAATACCTTTAAGGATGAGAAGGTCAAGGGGGAGAAACAGTCAAATCCCTACATTACTAGGCAAGAACATCACTGAATGCTAAAACCAGTGAGTAAGAGTTTGATGAGAACAGAAATTAAAAGTGCCTTCTCAAAAATTGCTTATTAATTTCAAAGGAAATAAAACATCTGTACATGGAGAAACCAAGGGAGACTCCCACTTCACTAAGGTAGGAAATCTCAGCCAGAACATACAGCTTTGTGTTTACACACACACACACACACACACACACACACACACTCAGTTTATATATTAAAGAAAAACCACCAGTGATGGAAGAAGCTGGTGTTATGTGTCTCCACACAGTGTCACACACGCAGAAGGTACAACATCACTTCCCCCGGGGCCGGCCCAGTGGCGCAAGCGGTTAAGTGCACGCGGTCCGCTGCGGCGGCCCGGGGTTCGCCGGTTCGGATCCCGGGCGCGCACCGACACACTGCTTGGCAAGTCATGCTGTGGTGGCGTCCCATATAAGTGGAGGAAGATGGGCATGGATGTTAGCCCAGAGCCAGTCTTCCTCAGCAAAAAGAGGAGGATTGGCAGATGTTAGCACAGGGCTGGTCTCCTCACAAGAAAAAAAAAACATCACTTCCCCCATCATCATGATGTGCATGAAATCTCTCTTCAAATATATAAGAAGAGGAAAAGAAGGAAGGCGGAAGGAGAAAAACCATGAAAGTCTCCCAAAGAAGGGGGAAGTGGAGAATCTTTATTACTGAACTGAAAAAAAGTCCATACAAAAACAAAACAGACACACAGAGATGGTGCCCAGAGATGGTATCAAAGAAAGCACCATTTTAAGAACCTATATGATGTCTCGGTAAAAAGCCTCCATTTAATTCTTTATTTCTGCTATGTGACAAGTATAGAGAGAAACCTATTTTGTTCCTTTACTTCGATTTGACACATTAGCTGCTCAGAACAGCAGGTTCAGAAGACTGTTGGCTGTTCGGTCAGGTGAAGCTGGGAAGAAGTGGCCCTCCACCAACCCGTCCCTGCATCCCTAGTGAAGCCAGCCCTGGGAAGAGAATACTCCATAATTCACAACACTGATCCTCAAACTGTTGACTGTGGCTTACAGTAAGATATACATATTATATCACAACCCTGTATACATGGTATATGTGTTTACACACACAGAGTTTATATACAGCTTCCAAAAAAAATTAGCCTTGCTACATATGAGGTCCTCTGATGCTGTCTGTTCTAGTTTATTTCAATGTTTAAAAGTGCTGGTCCCCAACTCACTAAACTGATTTTGAGACCCCTGACCTAACAGACCTGGAGGGAGATGGAGTTAATCCTAATTCCCCTGTCTCTCCCCTCATCATCTTCCTGGGTTGGAGAGTGAATGTCATGGGAATTTAGGAAACCAAATTAGAGAGTGATAGAACAAAGGACTAGATGCTTTGTCTTATTCTAGAATTAAAAAAAAATAAAATACAGAGACAGCATTTGGGTGCTAGCAGCTTATGTGCACTTCTCACATATAGAAACACCATTTTCAAGAAAATAAAGATAACAGTTGACAAATCCTGATCAACCACGTGCTCCAGGCCATCGCACTGAGGCACCAGCTCTGATTAACCATGTTTCAGGCTCCCTATGGCCCCGGCCAGCGCATTGTGTTCATTCTTCGATTTTAAAAAAGAACTAGAACAGTCTGTGGGTTTAGAGGGGAGACAGGTATCTCCCTAATTTTTTAGTGGATTTCATTTCCTCATTTTAACACAAAACTTATTTTTTCTTCTCTTTGCTTTTCCTCTAATATCTAGCTTTAACAAGGTTTGAACTCATCCCTTAAAATGCACGCGTTTACCTGTCTTTCCGACATTACCATTTCCCGGAGAATGGTATTTTTATCTTCAAAACAAAGCGTGTCGTCCTCATGGTGTGGCACATCGTCCCAACAGGCCACGCACCACGCCGCCCGATCCTCTAAGAGACTCATCAGCGGGCTCCAGAGCAGAAACCTAATCCGAGTCACCTTCTATCCCCTGTTTTCTATTCAAGCAGCTCTCTTTATTTTTGTCACGTGTTATTATAAGGAGAAAAGAATTCAAGAACTTCAATTGAGTGTATTAGAGTTCAGGAATTTTAGCTGAAAAATCTGATTTTGGGGGCCACGAATGCAAAAAGGGATGTAGTGACATTAATTTTCCATGTGAAAAATCAGCTAGTTTTCCTAGGAAAAGCCTGAAGGAGAAAAATATTCCACCTGACTTAGGCGTATTAGAGTCTCAATAGAGAAATACAGCTGAAAAAAAAAGAGAGAGAAAGAGAGAAAATTAAATAAACAATAGAAATAACAAGAAAATAAAATGGAAAACCAAAAAACAGGAAGGAATAGGGGAATGGCCAGGTCAAATTTAAGCTTTCCTGGTTTGGGGGTTTGATGGCCTTTTAGGAATCATTAGTTCAGAGGAGTGGGCCATTGGCATTGAAAAGCCAAAATCATGGATCTCCGGGTCATCACGACATTTAAGATGTATGTGGAAATGCAAAGAAAGACTCAAAGACCAGGTAACGAACTCCATGTCTAAACATGTGTCTTCCGATCATAACAGCTATTGTAAATATCATGCGAAAAATTACAGCAAGGCCACTGAGTGCATTTAACCTACTTCATTCTTTACTTGTTCCTAGCTGATCTGTTCCAGCGTGGAATCCAATTAGCATAAAATTGGTTTAATGTTTTAAACTAAGGAGACTCAGTAATTCGATAGCTAGAGCTTAGAGATAAAACTGAATATTCTCAGAAACCTGTGACATACTGTAGAGCAGAATGCACCATAAAATTGACATCAGCTATCTAAGAAGTAGACGATAAACCCTGGTGCCTAATCAGGTACCTGCCTATTTATATGGAGGGATAAATGAGGCCGTTCCCAACACACTCCCCTTGATTTCAAGGTTAATAGTTCATAAGAATTCAGAGGGTGAGTATTTGATCACTAACGGTCTGTATCAAATTCGCTGTATCTTCTGTTTTCACTGTCTCAAGCTCAAATTGGAAGTGACAAACAGTCACAGGTTTCGAATGCTCCGGGGGCTGGGGTGAGATGGAGGAGCGGGGAGGAAGACGGTCCATCTCTAGAGTCTGAAACACGACAAAGATGAACGGCCGCGCAAATGGGAACAGGCGCCTGATCATAAAACCCAG